GGACACACCCATGAGCACGATGGTCCGATCCTTACTTTCCTCACTGTGTTCCACAGCCTCCCCATTAGGGAATGTGAAGGGTCCTTCCTCAGGTGCTACAGGTAGACACAAAACATGTTAGTACCCAGCTCAGAAAAGGAGACTCAAGACTGACATGTTAATTTCAAGTGAGACCTTTCCTATATTTATATGAGTTCTGTAGTACCAAAGTGGATTCATTTTCAGGCACCCAATTTAGGGGTGAAGGGGACTGAAATCCAGGGGCTTTGCTGGCCAAGCCCTAGCCACTGGGGTTAGGCTGCATCCACCCTGAGGGAAAGGCATTTTTTTTTGTTTGTACAAAGATTGCCTAGAAAGTTTGTTTCTTCAGATAAGCTGAAGTCCCTGCCTCTACTGTAGTTTCATAAATTAAAGAGAGCAGGGTCAATGTACAGATAGAAATGCTCTAAATGCTTTCTGTGGACCCTGCTGTCTGGGAGCTCTCAGCACTCGTTTCAGTTTGGATACAGGTGGCCTCCAGCAGCCTATATTCTCTGTGAGGCCAATATGTCCATTTGAACAATGGGCACAGCTTAACCGTGAGAGGGAAGTTGTAGCTTTGTGGAGGTGTGTGTCAACATAGTGCTCTTGTTTGATACCAACTGGAAAAGGAAAGAGGAGTCATTCTGATTTTTCTCCTTTGAACCAAGACTCCTGCCCAGGCCCCAGCCTAGACAGTAATCTGGAAAAGGAGAGTAAGAGCAGTGTATCTGAGCCAGGTGGCAGGTGTTCAGACTGCAGAGTACTCTTCTATTTCTACAGAGCACTACTTCTACTCTGAAAAGTCCTTAGGGCCCATACAACGTTTCTTGATATTCAACAGAGATTTTGGATTCTGTTTAGTCTTTGATTAAACATGGATGAAAAAACTACTACCTTCCAGCATTTAGGGAATGAAATGATTTTATATGCTTATATGTATACATATATATATATATATACACACACACACACACATATATAAAATATATATAAAACACATTTTAACAGAAAGTGACACTTTTTAAAAAAATACTTTTTCTTATATAATTTTTAAAAATATTATTAAACTTTCTAACAAAGACATTGAATTGGTATAGTCAAATGGCTCTGGACCAGGAAAGTTCTCTAATTAGCATTGTGATCTGAATCAACAGTTCTATTAATAGGAACCTATAAAGATACTAGTTTAATGTTTCCCTAGAGGAACACAGTTTTTAAAAGTTCAAAATTATAATTGCACTGTCAGTACTAGAATATTTAAATTGTTACATTTACCCTAATTAATTACAGTCTTTATTATGGATGATTATTTTTTTCTGTCTCCATTTTCTAACATTTCTATAACATGTTATACTTTTTTATCAGCTCAAATTATAAATAATCCTAGACATACAGAAACTTGGGGTAGAATCCTAGGCATGTTACCTTTTTAGAAGCAAAAAGAAGAAAGCAAGTAAGAAAAAGCAACAGAAGGAGCCTTTAAAATGGCAGGAGAAGTTCTAGGAGTCTACAATGTTGTAAAAGCCAGGAGAAGTGTTAAGTTTCAAGAAAGGAAAAGTAGATGAATATACAAAGTTACAGTGAGATTGACAAAGATGATAATGGGCTAAAAAGAAAACATTGGAAGTTTTGATTTGATGAGCAGGTGCCATCACAGAGAATAATTATTAAGAGATGGAAGCAGTTTGAATGGATGATGGTGATAGCCAGTCAGTTTTTCCATTACAAACATGCCTTGAAGGCTTACTGCAATCTTCATTTGTTGCTCATGAATAATACCTGTTTTAATCCTACCCATTAATTTACTTCCTGGTGGGTTATAAGAAAGCCTCAGAAGTCCTCTTATTTGGAGGCAGGGTTGAGAGAAGAGATGGACTGGAGAAGAGAAATCTCTAGGTGCAGCCCCTTTCCAGGCTTTGTGCTGAGGTCCAGACCTTCATGCTGCTCTCTGCCACCTTTCTCCTATGAAAATTTGCATTGTATCTGACACAATTGTGGTGCCCAAAAGTTGTGTATAACTCTTAAAATATAGAGTGCATAGTATACAGGTATGTCATCCACAATGGTATTTGTGGTGGTTTCTATTAAGAGTGGAAAGGAGAACAGTAATCTTCCCATTTCACTTTCTAAGATAAATGTTGAGTGCCTACTTACTGAGGAGCAGATCTTTGGCTCCCAGTGAGCAAAGGCTGGATGTTGGCCCCACCGAGGTGCTGTTCTCTGTGGGAGCTGCTGGGTTCTTGGCTCGCTTCTTGCACTCAAACACAACCAGATCTTTGCATTGTTTGTGGCAATTCATCCCGCAGTCTGTGGACAAGACACTTTGGTCAGGAAGTCTTTCACTTTCATCTTCAGGATCTTAAAACTGCATTTACATGCAGCACTCTCCTGTCATGCATGCCTGTACCGTCTCCTGGAGCTAGGTCACCTAGCACTCTTTGTGAACCTAGCATTCTCCTCACTTGGTCAACCCTCGATCTCACCAGCTTGCTGTAGTCCTGACTATCTCAGAATCAGAGGTGGAAGCTTGTATCATCTTGGAGGGACTAAGTGGTATCTCAGGTATTCTGCAGATACTACCTACTCTACAGAGACTCTCTGTGGGCTATTAGGTTTTACTCCTTTTTTCCTTGCAGTAAAAGCTCTCTTTTTCACTCTTGAATTGTCTAGTCACAAGGAAGGACAGTTATGTCCTGAGGTGTCAGCCTTTCTTTTATCGTAGACAGGACCTTTTGTAATCACTGACCTTCTGTTCCAAAAGTCAGTCTGTGCATTTGAATGGGAACCCACTTTTTCCATGACCATCTGAGAGTATAATCTCCTAACAGCCAACCCTATTTCCAAGGCAGCCAAGGCAGAGGATCTTGTAAGGGGAAGCTGCATAACTGGTCACCAGGCATTCCTGTCTTGGGTGTGGTGGCAGTCAATCTCGGTGGGCACTTATCTAAGGAAGCCAGTTTGGGGATGAGGCTTTGTACTGTGCTGAGAAGTTGTGGACTGCATGGATAATTACTATGGGCAAAAAATGCTTTTTATAGGAGAGCCTCTGAGACCAGGGAAAACAAATCAACAAAGCTGAACCTTACCTTTACATCGGTATCCTTGTTTGATCACTCCCCAGAGCTATGGGACGAGAGAATGCATCACATGTCATTCATCTATCTGTGCGAGGCTAGACTTTGACATCCATTCTTTATTTTTCCCCTCACTCTGCTCTCATCCTCAAGTAGGAGGGAAACCTTGCTCATCTCTCCTATGTCTTATCCCTCCTGATCTTAAACTGGAAACAGGAGAAGTCTGTGCTGATCAGAGTCATATGTTCTCAAGAAGCTCACCATCGACCCAGGCCTTCTCCAGGCCTGAAATGGATGAATCACAGGACAAACAGCCTTCTTGGGACTCCAAACTAAAGAACAAGTGCATAGAATCTTGGGGTGAAGCACTGGGTTTAGAAAGAAACTCCTGGTCAGGGATGGGACAGAGGAGGGACACTCAGATGACTTTTTAAAGGCAGTTCTCTTTGAAGGGGGGAGGGGCAAGGATGTCTCATTTCTTTTTTTCTAACATTTGAAACAGCATATGATCATAATACTTAAAAAGTATATCTCAAAAGTAATCGCATTAACATTTCCTTACCATTTATTCCAAGCCTCATGCACCAGTGAAAAAAATAAATCAGGAAGAAATGGGAAAAAGTGAGTGCAAGCTAAAGTCATGTATTTGAGGACCAGGTGTTTGCTTAGGCTCTGAGCTGGGATGAGCTGACAAGGGTGCTGAGGCCTATGCCAGGCTTCATCATTTACACTGTCCCAAGTTCAACCCTAAAACACTCTAAGAACAACTTACAAATCCAGCACAGTTGTCACAAAATGTGGGTTTCAGGTAGGTGGTCTCTTGGAAGTTGTGAGGAAAGCCCAGGCCCAGCTTGGAGTAGATTGAGCTGGCCCTCATGAAGTAGGCTGTGATCTCCTCTCTGCTGATGAGGCCTTCCCTGCCAGCACATGAAGGAGATGAGGGTGTAAGTGGGGGACAGGAGGTGACAGGGGTGACTTCTAGCCTTAGACTCACCTTTGTTTTTATCCTTGAGTGGTAGCACAGTACATAATACCTGATAATTACTTCCATGAGCCCTCCTCTTAAAAAGGGTACTTGGGTAGCATCTTGTAAGTACTTGAGGCAGGAATACTCATTTCCAAAGTTGTTCTTTGGATAAACTAGGTTTTTCTAATTAATCTAACCAATATCTGAAATATTGTAAAGAAGAATAATCGAGAATGTGTGTACAGGGAGAGGGGTATCATACGCTGCAGTTTCTGACTTTACACAGCACATATAACTGGAAGCCATCAACCATGTATTTAGTTTCATACAGAGAACCAACATCGGCCTTAGTGTAACCTTGAGGAAAGCAAATATGCAAAATATTAATAAATAGTTTCTCATAATCTGTAAGATGAAGCAAGAGGGATACTAAATTTTATCTTCTTTATAGTTGACTATTCCTAAACAGATTTATGAAATCTTCAAGTCTGAGGCATTTAAAAAGCATGTTTTTCATTGTCTACTGTGGACCAAACCAGAGCCAGACAGGCCTTCCCCGGATGGTTGCCTTTCAGCCCCAGTATTCATTAAGTGGTCACAGCAGCACAGCTGAGTTTACAGGTGCATCTGATGACACCCATAAACCCCTCTCACCAGGCTCAGAACCACATATTCTTATACACACTCACCTGTCTTTGTCCATCACACAGAAGGAAAATGGAAAACTTGCAGCAATCTTTTCAAACTCTTCCTGAGAAATGTATCCATCCTGGTCATGATCATAGTTCTTGAAGACAGACTGAAAAAAGCAGTGTCTTTGATGATTACCAAAAAGAAAGCAATCATTTTTCCCTTTAGCCAAGGACAGAGAGGCTGGAGCAGCTGATGGAAACATGCTCCTTAAAGGTGCTGCAAAGCCTCAGCAGATCCCATCCCATGTCTTTGCTGGCACCAGCATCTGGAGGGTGGCCAGCTGCTGTTAACCCCATTAGCCCTGTGTATTCCCAGCTCGTTGCACGGAGGGATGTTCCCCCTCCTCTCTGACCTTCTGTCATTGCTCAGCTCAAACTGCACCTTCTCTGTGAAGCTCCCACTAACAGCTGATGCAAGTGCCCCCTCCTCCCCTCCCCCACTGCTTTAATCCCCAACCGCTCACTGTTGTGTTACTTGCTGGCCCTAGCTTTTCTCCTTTCACACTGGAATGGCCTATGAGGAAGAATGTGGAAATGTGAAAGTATATACCTCCTCAGCATTTAGCACAGTGAATTAAATCAAGCAATGCCAAAATTTTCAGTTTTAGATTCTCCTTGTTACTCTTCCTCACACACAAGTGTTTTCTTACACCTCTTGGCCCCAAATAAAGACCAGCTTTATGCTCTCCCGCTACATCTATCCTCTCTTGTAAGAGGAGGCACACTTCCCCCTTAAGGCCAAAGTACGATGGCAGAATGTAACTTCTGAACTGGTCTGCTGCCAGTGTAAGCACGTGGCCCCCTGTGCTCCCCTCCGTGCTCTCCCCCATGCAGAGCTAAGCCAGGCAGTGCCTTGTTTTTGTGTGCTGAAAAACAGCTGTACTTACATCCACCATCCTCTGGACGTGTTTGCTTATGGTCTTTGGGTCAGGTTTGGGAGATACTCCAGAGGCCCAGTCCACTACTACTGGTGGCTTTGAAGGTGTTAGTGGCTACAATGAAATATTCAGAAAAATCTCTATGACTCTAATGCAGCGTCACCTACAACTCTGCTTTTCTACTCCCCTATGGCTGCATCTGTAGACAACCTTCAACTATGTGTCATGGCAAGGAGCAGAGAACTCACACATAACTGAAATCTAGAACTGTAATCTTGGCTGACACAAATATGGTGTTATGGTTTACAAAGAGCTCCTCATATGCATTATCTCCATCTACACATAATTCAAAATTCTCAATTCCCTCTCCATTAAATCTTTTGGGGAAGCTGTCAACCAAGAGTAAAGTATATCATTTAAATTTCCTCTCTGTTCTCTACTTACTGTTTAGTAGAGATGTAGATGAAGAGAAAAATAGCTATAAAGCAGGAAAATACTGCCTTTAAAGAAAAAAGTCTGAGGCCAAGACAAGCTGAGATGGAATCAATTCCTAAATATTTGAGAGTTGGCCTAGATGTAAATCTCTTCCCCAAACAGGAGAAGGTATCCTTTCTACTGAAGTGCCCTGAAAATGGAACCTACCAAATATTTTCAGGGAACATGTCTCGTTATGATAGAAAGCTGGAACTTGATCTTTCTTTGTAGAGAGTGAAATCTGCCACATGAACAGATGAACTCAGTTTCTTAAGTGTGAACCACTCTCTCCACTTGAGTACTACTTGTTTTGGGACTGGGAAGCTTCCCAGGAGACTGTGAGCATTACCAGTCCTTCAGAAGGCAAACTGAACTTATTACACCTGCCTGTCAGAGAGGTGGGGACAGATAACCAGTCAAGTTCCTACTGTGCAGTGCCACGACTATGCTCTTGTGAGGTCAGAAGACCCAGCACACCACTCTGTCTGACCCAGATGAATACACAATGATGGGGCTTTTCTCTCTACCAAGCTGGGAATCCCCTTAAATTTAACTTCTGATTAGTATGCATATTGCTTTCATTATCATCAGCAAATCATATAAGAGAAACAATTGATGTGGGAACACTTTGTAATAAAGTGGCCTACAGTGCTACCTCTTCTCTAATTTGTGAACCACTGATGGTTCCACCACTTATTCTGATGTTCTTACAGCCACATAGTTGTTTCCTGTTAGTAATCTTATCCCTTCAAGCAGACTGCAGGTTCTTTATGGTCAGAAACTACTCTTCATACCTATGTTGGTGCTTTCTCTGCTCCTAGCACAAGGTTGGGCATGTAGTAAACACATCATATGCTTATTAAACTGAACTAAGATGTTTAGTTTCTTAAGATGAATGACCTCGATGAACGGCTTGTAGATCACCTGTTACATGCAGGAGACTTAATATGAACAACTCACTGGGGCTTTGTGGTTCCTTGGTTCCCGGGCATAAGAAAGCTCATAGATTTCATCTTCAGTGTAGTAGAGATCTAGGGATAACTGCAAATAAAAGCAGAACAAGGTTAATTCCTAGGATGCTGTTTTCCTTTCCCAGGGTTGAAGCATTTCTTTCTGGGTTCTGCCTCTTCAGTGGTTAACTCTTCTGGGCTCTTAGTAGTTTGTTTTTAAAACTCACAATTTGGAGGGCATAACACCTTCTATTGCAATAGGGCAAGCATTAGTTCATTCTCTTAAAAATGTTTTTAAACATTGGAGAAGTCTCAAGATGACCTCTTTTAAACTATGATTTAATATGTAAGCCTCTAGATGGAGCTTAGGCCAGAGGCTCAATCCAGTCAGATGGTCCGCTTCTCACCCGGTCTTTCCCCAAAGCAGCAAGTGCTCTGAAAGGACAGTTTGCTTAGCCTGATACTGTTAAAATTTGTTTCTAGCAACAGAATCCAGTTTAAATGACAACAGGTATGATTAAACAATACTAAGAGTTAATGAGTTTCATATGTCTCAGAACTATAAAATTTTAGAGGACAGATGTTTTGGAAATAACCTTATTGTTAACCTAGAGTCAACAGCTGGGCTTCAGAAGGTTCAGAACTAAAAGACATGCATATTTTTGTATGGTTATGTATTTTTTATGGGAAGAATATTCACAGCTTTTATCACGGGATTTGTAATCCAAAAAAGTTAGGAGTCAGTGCAGCTTTTCATAGATGATGATGTCTAAGGCCGAGACCCGCCAAGGTCACCTGACCAATTAGTGAAAGCGTTAGGATTAGGCTGGATGTGAAGCCTGGGACTCTATCAGCCTTACTCTATCCTGTAAGGTAGGGAGAGGCTATAATATTCCATTCTGCAAAAAAAGCAGATTAATAATTGTGTAATTTGAGAACTGAAAGAGAAGTTATAAGTCATCCCAGAGACTAATCCCTCTGGTTTACAGAGGAGGAAACAAAGTTAGTTACATGCCCACAGTCACAACAGCTACTGAATCACAGGATTGCAGGTCAGAAGGGAGTTCATTTGACTGCACCCTGTTTCCAAAGTGCCTACCCTTTGGTGTTTGCCTACCCTTTGCTTGAACGTCCTGGAAACAGGGATCTAAGTTAGTAGTGGCAGAACTTAAATAACGAACCTGTTTTTGTATTTGCTTTTTAACTCACTGCCTTTTCCTTTTTATGAGAACACACTGTCTCCATCTCTTACCAAGCTTTGTATCCCTGATTTGATATCAGCTTCTGCCAGAAATCTTAGGGCTGCTTTTGCAGGGGAAGAGAAACACTGAGAAGTCCTCCTTAAGAGCACACAGCTTCTGGAGTCCCACCAATGGGTCTGAATCCAGGCTCTGCTGCTTAATGTAAGTGTGGTCCTCTGACCAGTTATGTCTCTGTGCCTCAGTACTCCTAACCATAAAAAAGAGATAATAATAGTATCTAATTCATAGAGTTTTTATGAGGATTAACCGAGCTAGTATTTGGCAAGGTGCAGACAGCGGCGCCTGGCACACAGTGCTTAGTAATCGTCTCCCACATGAGCCTCACCGTCAGCAGGTGCACCAAGTCCTTGTTAGCCTCCAAGGGTGGAGCCACCTCTTGCAGCTGCACCAGTTCATTGATATGATTGTAAAGGGCCAGCAGCTTGTGGACGTTCACCTTCCCATCCTCCAGATAGTCGGGCATGGCTTCATATAGGGAGATGAGGTCCTTGAGGTGCACCCCCAGGATGGGGATCTTGAAGCGGGTACACTCCCCATAGGCTCGCCGGTAGTTATCATAGTTTCTACAGGAGGAGAGCAGCTCAGTCATCTCACCCAGAACCTACAAAGCAGAAGAGAAGTCCCAGTCACATCAGGTATGCATCAGGCAAAGTATATTGTCTGCACTGCTGCACTGGGCATCTTGTTTACTCTTAATGAGTCATGGGATGTCATGATTTCATCCCATCCCTACTTTGTCAGGCAGGAGGTGATTCATCTAAAAGGTACAGATTATGATTCCCAAATGAAAATTCTAGTCTGGCAAATGTCACAGTGTATTTACAAATTCAAGGCATACTTTACTTGATTCTACTGTAAATCAGAAAAAATTTTAATGAGGTCTGTTTTATACCCAAATTTTCTTTAAAAAATAAAAATAAAAGCACCTGATACAGAAACTAAAAATGTACAAGAACACAGTGAATAATAAGAATCCCTCTGATCTGTTCCAAGCCATGCTGTTCCCTTCTCTAGTGTCTGTGACAGCTTCTAGAGGCTGCACTGCATTGCATTTGGAATGCGATGGCAGAATTGCAGACTGTGTTGCTGGCATGGGGCAAACCATGTGTTTTAAATGTGGAGCTTCAGTGGTCTGTTCCATGTTTTTATTCTTTATGCTGTGATGGGTCGACCACATCTCAGTGATTCTCAAATGGACCTATATCTAGGAAGCAGGTAGCATTCCATTCAGACTGACACTCTGATCTAGAGACAGAATAGATTAGACCACTTTGTAGCAAAGACATGCAAGAAGATGAGGTGGAGGCCCCAGGGAGCTCTTCATTGGAGCTCAGGCTCTGCCCTGGCCTGGGAGGGGGCCTGACTGCTCATTAGCCCAAGAGGAAGGGCGAGATCTGTGTTCCTCTCAAACACACCTGGTTGTTACAGAACCCCATTCCCCAAGCGTAATGACCAGCTTTCTCAGAAACAAACACTAAGACGGTCTGCCAATCATGTTACAACACAAGATAACCATTTTAAGTTGAATGTCAGAAGTTCTTTTAATAATTTATGGCCTAAGAAGTACCATTTCTCTGCAGTGAAAACTTGAGGTCTTGGAGTTAGCTGGCCTCCTGCAGTCACTTTGAGCTGACAAGGGAGCCTCATCATACCCCTCTAGCACACAGTGCAGGTGAGTGTGAGGGACAGAAGGTGCTCACAAGACAAGAGACTAACACCAAAAATGACAGAGGTAGTTTTGTTCCCGTTAGAAGGTAAGGTGAAGCACTGGGGCACACTCGCTTTGGCCCTGGACTTACTAATTTGTGTGTAGACTCTGAGGGGCAAGTAGCTTCGGATAAAGAGGCACTGCTGTGGGGGACCCCAGGCTGTAGCTCATAAGGGAAATGGAATGAAGCTGTATGAATTTCTGTGACTATACCTCTGTCACCTCTGAGACATGGGCAGTCTTTGCAGTTCCATCTGGTCTCAGCGGAGCTATTAGGGAATTCTCAGGTGACCAGACAATTGGGAGATGGGGGTAGGCTCCCCGGGCCCGGCACTGTGAGAGCAAGGAAGGTAAGAGACTGCCCCAAAAGAGGCTGAACACTGGGGAAAAAGGGCAACTGGACACAGACATCTCCCTGAAAGTGTCCTTCCATGCCAGAGGGAGGGCTGGGACTTGAGTTTAGTGAGGGAGGGCTTGCTGGTCCTCTTACACGGGAAGAAAATGCTCATAAAGTGGTCTTAATCTAACCCCGATCACACAGCTGCATTTATATCTTCAGTATATCATAGTGGTTTATAATAACAGTGCTGTGTTATAAAGGATCAGAGTCTATACTGTGAAATCTCATTAAGAATACAGAAAAAGACTTAGGACTGTCAAGAAAAACATTCCTCGATAAAACACTATCTAATACAAAATTCAGGCACCTGAAAATTTTATTTCCAACTATTTGGGAAAAATTCAACAACCCATTATGTTATTCCCAAGAGCTCTGGAGAGCTCGGTTTCTAACATGTCCCTCCATAACTGCACCTGACAGACTGACCTGTTCTCACCGGGACCACTGCTCCTTTTGGGGGAATGTTCTGGGGCAAGGGAGTTGATAAAGATGGTGACTGAATATACAGCAGCTTGTGAACAGAGGAAGGAGGCACACATCACTGCAGCTGACCAGCTAGAACGTGTGCAGCGACCTTGAGGCCAGACGGAATCATCATCACTTTCAGATCTGTGACGTTCCCATCCTGTGGGTTTCCTTAGGGTTTGCCTTCCTGGTATTTTGTCTGGTTGGCAAAGGATGATGTGGTTAAATGCCCTTGGTGCTGCCGCTCAAGGAGGAAATGCTGACGTTGGTCCTGGGAATGCTGCTAAGGGGCCCTGGAAGAGGCTGTAGCACTGACCTTATTAATTTCATGTGGGACATGTGAACTTGTCTCCTTGAGCCTGGAGATCGAGCTGTGACATAGCCCGCCTATCACAGCCATCAGTGTGTTGAAGTTCTGTAATTGGTGGAGCTTCTGTGACACAGAAAACAGGTAAGAGCGGTCACTGTACATGTCAGTTACACAGGGGCTTAGAGGCTGCCTCTGGACTCTATACTGCAAGTCTTCCTAATGCTAGTCAAAGACTAGTGATCAGGTGGTGTGATTCCTGTCCATTTCTCTCCTAAGGCTTAGTTCCAAACCAGCAGGTCCCAAATCTGGCAGGTCATCGCATCTCCTTCCCTTTGTTACAGCTGGTCTGTGGACCACTCTACTCAATGGTTTCTAGGAATAATCCAAAGTACTTGTTTTACACAAAGATTTCTGTGAGCTTAAGGATGTGCTTTTAATATACCTTTGGTTAAAATCAGAGCAGGTGGTCCATGTACCAGACTTTGAGAAACACTGGTCTAGACTATCTAGAGCTGGAAAAATAGATCGAGTGTGTAATCTTTTATAGCCTTCATTCAAAATTAACCAGACTTTTATTTTTGAGGGCAAGGATGGTGCCTTATTTTCTGTGCAATGCCAGAGCTATACAGGACAGCAATGGATGCAGAGAAGCTAGAATCTCTGGGGATTTCAAGTATGTGTTCATACTACCTGTTCAGATGCTTAAACTCTGCCTCTGAAACCCAGCCATTCAACACAACATGGGCTCAAAGACCTAAGCCAACTCAGGCTGGCCTAGCCCCAGGCAACCTTGCATGGGGGCTTGCCCTTTTCCTTTTGCCACGTGAGCCAGATTTAGGAAAATAATAGAGGCTGGTAAGCATCTTCTGAAAAGAGATACGGATGGGTCTAAAACTGAATCCTGACCCCTGGGATAGCTTGTATTGGCCCTCTCCCTATTGCTCTTGTATGGAAAACAGAAAAATCACCATATCTAGAAATGGGGACAGTTGAAGCTACACAAACCCCACCGTGGATCACGAAGGAAAAGCAACTCTAATGGAGAGACTAGGCTGGGGGGAAGAGGTGATAATTCACCTCACAGCCCAGCCAAAATTCTTAATCCAATCACTCACCTGAGCCACCTGGATGAACTTGATGAAGACTTCTGCTCGGAGCTGTGGGGTGGGACGGCTGAGCACCATCAGCTGGACCCACTGGGAGATGCCATTACATAGGGCAATGGATCTTTCCATGGTGGGGTTCTCCTTCACGCAGCTATTCACAAGGTAATTCTGATAATCAGAGAACTGGGGGGAAAAAAAACACCAGGACTGCCCATCTGGTATTCTGGGAGATCTGGGGGAATGTTACTCTGCCTCCTTGATGGCTAGAAACTGCTGTGGAACAGAGTTGCTTTTGGCCCTCTTTTGCATATCCCCCACTTGGCCAACAAGAACAGTAGGAAGGAAATCTTTCTTACTCTACCCACAGCACAGTCTCTCTACATCAAAAGTCATTAGGTGTAAGTGGAAGCATGCACACAATGGGTAATCCAAACATTGTATCTGAGTAGCTACTGATACAGTCTCTTCTAAATTCTAAATAACAGAAGAAAAGTCTCAGTACAGACCCCTGACTTACAATGGTGCAAAAGCTATACGCATTCAGTAGAAACCACACTAAATTTTGAATGTGGATCTTTCTGGGCCTAGCAAATGCTGTACAATCCTCTCTGGTGATGCTGGGCAGCAGCAGTGACCTGCAGCTTGCAGTCAGCCACACCATCTGAGGGCGAAGAACCAATGCACTCAAAACCGTTCTGTACCTAGACAACCATTCTGTTTTTCACATTCAGTACAGTATTTAATAAATGACATATTCAACACTTTATTATAAAGAAGGCTTTGTGTTAGATGACAACTGTAGGCTAAGGTAAGTGTTCTAAGTTCTAAGGTGGGCGAGGCTCAGCTATGAATGTTCGGCAGGTTAGGTGTATTGAATGCATTTTTGGCCTAGGATATTTTCAACTTATGATGGGTTTATTGGGGTGTTAACACTGTTGTAAGTCAAGGAAGATATGTACTAGTTCCAGGTCTGTTGCTAAAGTTAATGGGGAAAAATAATCCTCTCACAAAAATCTAATGTCTCTCCTTTCTTCCCCATTCCTCTCTCTCCCAGCTGTTTTTATAACTTAAAAATGGAATAAAATCTGCCCTTTGTAGGGCACAGATTTGATATGACAAACATAATAATATGTGCTTTTCAGAGGGCTACATAAATGTGCGGTGGTGCTAACAGGACAACTGTTAACCTCAGGCTAAAACAAACCTGTTTGGGTTTCCTTCTACTCGAACAAGCATGAGCAAAGGCCAAGTGAGTGGGGTGCATGAAACCTGGTCAGCTATTATTTGGTGACCATAGTTTCCCAACTGGACAATGGCACCGGCTGGTTGACTATGAAAGAGCATATGTGAAACTGTAAATGCCCCAGAAGATCACTGTATAATTGATGAGTGTAGCTATTGTGTCCCTATCACAAACGGAATCTCAGCTCAGACAGCAGAACCACGAAGGGAGGAGGAGTCTGCTCTGCCCCACTGCTCCTACGGAAATGTGTGGGGCTGCTGCCCAGCTCCTGCTAGCTGCTTCAGAACGTGCCCTTTGAAAGCAGGGAAATCCATGTCAGGACAAAGCCTCCCACATCTGAGTCTCTGAGCAACTGTGGTCAGCAGAGGCTCCTGCTGACCCATGCTGAGACATGCAGTGTGAGTGAAACATAAACTTGCTTTGTTGAGCCACTGCGATTGTGGGAAGTGGAAGGAGAGTTGTTTCTCAGTATTTAGTCCTACCTGACTGGTAATAACACACTGAGAAAAACTCACAACTTAAGTAAAGTAAGTGCAAATTAACTGAGCCCCATTTTAATGTCCTGTGATTGCTGATGGGTAGAAAACTGTGAGTAGACCAAAGCCACTCCTGAAGAGAAACATAAAGCAACATGCTTACTGGTTCTAAGAGAAAGTTCCCATGTCGCACTTATATACCTGTCCCACTATAAAGATAACATATTGAGTCCACTTGTTTTTTCAAAGAATTGTCCAGCAATTTTCCCCTCCCCACCGAAGTATAAGAATAAGCAGAAAATACAAAATGATGTTCAATTCATAGTAGAGATATATACTGTAGGAACCCTGTATCAGAGGAACAGTTTGGGAAATCTCTTTAGAACTGTGTAAGGAAAACAAAACAAAAATCCTCAAAAAAGTCTTCTGTGAGGGGACCACACCACTCAAAAGAGTGAAGGTTCCAAATGATGTTTCCATTTGCAAACAGAGGAACCCCTCAACCGCTGGGAGCACGGGCTCCTAGTCCTTGTTCTACATTGATTTTTCACCCCTGCTTGAGCCCTAGCACTGACCTGAACACTAGCACTGAGCAGACATCCCACGGGCCAGGTGGAGCAGCACAGCCAATTGGGCCCAACACAGCTCAGATTTCCAGTGTAATAAGCAGCTCTTTTCAGAGTCCTTCCCCGTGACAGGAGGTACGCCAAATGGAAATTCCCCAGATAGAGCTTCCCAACTGGGGCCTGTGGTTCTGTCTGAAGGGTGCCAGTGAGGAGACTGGGGGCTAGTGCACATTAATGCTGGGAGACATCTTTCCAAATGGGAGCTGGGGGGGTGTTCCTGACTGACTGATCAAAAAGTGAAAACAGGACAGATGTCAACATTATGGGAGAAACGATGAAATAATCTGTGTGACCTGGTTTACAGCTCTCCTTCCAGAAACAACCAGGCTCAATAAACTGTTGCTGAGTGAGTGAGAGAGGCACAGGATTCCCAGTTCTGACTCTTAACAGACTGTAAAACCTTGTTCAAGCCACCCTCCATGCCCCTCATCCAGGGAACATAACTCATTCAAAGAAATGCACCCAGCAACTAGGTAGTCTGTGGTTCTAGAGCAAAACTGAAGACCATATCTTTTGGTACAAGTGGGGGCTGGGTGGAGGAAGGGTGTCCTATCTTGGGAAGGCATCTGGGCCAGTGTCCTTTGGGGTCACACACGGAGTTTTAAGGAGCATGGTTTGGGTCACCATAGTTCATCTTGAGTCATGGATGATGGCTGAGCAAAGTCAGCACTACTGCAAGGGTCTCAGTATATTCTGGGCTAGAACAGCAGCATCTATTTTACTTTGAGACTCTCCAGAGCCTTCAAAGCCTATCCTAGAATGAACTCAAACTCTTACAGGACTATCCTCATTTTTTTTTAGAGGAAAATTTTTTTAAAAAACCACTAAGCCTAATGACTATAGAGGTGAAAGGAGTGTATGTGTGTGTGCTTTGTGTACACTCAACTAACATATGCATGTGTATAAGGTGCCATGTGTGCCGTTAGTACTGCCCCTTGAGCAGGGCATGGGGTGGGCATGGAGGATGGGAGAGGGAGCCCAGCAGGAACAATGAAGGAATCAGAGTACTGATTTCTAGACTACCCAGAGTCTGCCGAGCAAGCCTACCAGCCCGAGGGGCTTCTAGGGTTAGCAAGTAGATGGCTAGTACATTTCTTGGCTCTTAAAAATTATCCCAGGCAAGTCCTTCTCCTGCCACTTGGGTACATACAGATATCCTCCGGAATGACTTGAACTCAAGGTAGGTCAGGTGCTCAGATAGCTCCTCTGGTTCCAGATGGTCAAAGAGGAGGGACACTTTCCGTTTCTTGCTGGTGTTTGATTTTATCCTTTGAGTAAGTTTCCTGGACCAGTCACGGGCATTGCTTTAGTGGGTAAACATAAAAAGGAAAGGACAGGGAAAAATAACAATCAGAATTGTTTTTTACTGCAAGTAAGTCCACTAATGTTTTCCACAAGAATATATAAAGCACTCTTAGCTAACTTTCCCTGACCAAGACAACGCATTCACAGAGTTTCGCCAAGTCAGCTGTTCTTACGGCAGCAGCTAGGAAGCTTCACTGGTTTCCAGAGAACCTTTTGAAATGCCGTGGGAGCTGCGTATACCGCGTTTGCTCGAGGCTGCAGGAAGGACAGCCTCAGTCGTTGGTCGCCTCTCCTGGCCCCTGGTCCTGGCTTCTTCACCTGGCCCTGGCATGTCTGCTCTCTCCATGCTGCTTTGTGTCCCTTCATTCTCGTGAGGGTGATGGGGACTTTGTCTGCTTGGGAATCTCAAGGTAGCAGGGCAGCTTTCAGGCAGGAAGGGCACAGAGAACCACAGAGAGGAGATGCCCTGCTGCAGGGAATCACAGGTAAGAACTTGCAGTCACTCTGGGCCGACTTGTGGCATTTGCTCAAATGTCCCCAGTCATTGAAATGACCGAAGCAGCCTAGCTAACCCTAGAGTGCCCTCCCACCCCACAGACATATTTTCCTGTAATCAATCCATGTATTTCTTACTCAGTTTCAGTTTTCTTCACCAAGAAGGCAAAAGGAAGCAGCCTTTTTGAGATGAAGCAGGTTGCAGATTTGTGTTTTCTAACTGGTATTCCTGAAAACCTTGTCTGTTGACAAAGGGGTTCTGTGGTCAAATGAGTTTGGGGAAGCACTACAAATTCTGTAGCCCCCTTGGCCAATGAGCATGTTATAGACTGTGACATGTACTGCAAAGGTAAGTTTAACTCACTATTTTTCAATGAAGTATCCCACTTCAGGCAATATCCCACTAATTCCTGAAGAATAACTTGTGGAAAATATTTGTAGAGGAAAGTCAATTACAGCCTATTGGGACAAGGAGATCTGGGTTTGAGAACTGTCCTGGGCTCTGGTTCTGCATCTCTAAAATGAGGACATTGTTAATTCAAACATTTCTTTCATCTTTCCAGTTGTATAATTCTAAGCAGAGAAGTACAGATAATCCAAACTGAGAAAAAGACCTACTTGGAACCAGGAAATGTGATTTTTGAAATTAGTTCTACATGGCCATGGCCCAGGGCCTTCACAGTCCAACTTCTGCTCTAACTTAACTAGCTGTGTGACCACAGACGAGTCACAACTTCTCTGTGCCTCAGTTTCCCAAGATGCTGGGCAAAATGATCCAACATGTTTCGGTCCTGGATCCTAGTAGATACTCTGTATACCCTAGGGATTTGTGTTATTCCAAAATAAAATGGCCATCTTGTAAAAACCTTAGCATACAATGTGTGCACTCGCCTCTCCCAAAATTAGGAAAGGCACTCATTTTTCCAGAGCACACCAATCTCATAATTAAGAAATCCAAGGAATAATTTGAAATATTTCTGAGATTCTTTCCATTCTGAAAATCTAAGTGTTTCTCACAGACATCCATCCATGTCATAATCTGCTCAATACATTGTTCAGCAGTCCCAGCCCCATTTTCAAGTTCCTAGCTCTGAAGAAGAGTGAATTCAGTCACTGCACTTTCAGTTTCCCATGATCTCGATACATTTTAGTATCTTGATACCTCATCTCTTTTTCACTGGGACTTTTGTTTTTTTTCCTGTTTTTGGATATTAGTCACCTACATTTTATCCCCAGGGGTCTTCTTTGCTCTCCATTAAATGTCAAGCTTTTCACTTTGGGAAAGCAAGCTGCAGCTGCCCGAATGGGGGGAGAAAGAGCCGCAGTCATAGCCGGAGTCAGAAGCCTCGCTGAGCAGCCTGGACTGTATTACAGGAGGGAGGGGCTTTCGACCCTAGATACTCACATTTGGGTTGTGTCAATCAGGCGGCAGTGTATCTCCTCACCATTAGCCTTCACCAGTTCCTGAAACTCCTCCATAGTGTTTGTCAAGCTGGCATCCATTTTGAACATGATCCAGAATTCTGTGATCCAGTACCTACAGCATGGGAGTTAAAAAACACAATCCACAACCGAAGCCAAGTACTCACACTGGGTGGGGCCTTCCCACAGAGAGGACTCAGGAAAAGGCAGAGGCTGGCTTGCCTTCTCTATTCCTGGGAATACAGGATCCATACGCTATAGACAGAAGACGCAGAGCTGGGGTAGAGGTGGGGGAATGGAGAGAGAACCTCCCACTGACAGTCCTCTGCCCTCCACGCACTGAACACTTTGAGGGGACAAGGGGAGTCTCCATCAGAGGAGCCATGGCACAGATTCGGGTGCAGCCACACGTGTCGAGGGTACTACAAAGAAGACGGTCACAGACACACCCATTCGAGAAATGGGGCAATGGATCTGGTCACGTGACAAGAACACGTTAGCATGTCCAAGAATATTTATGACCATTAAAAATAATGCTTACAAAAAAAAGTTTTAATGACTAGAGATGATTTCTAAGATATAAAGTGAAAAACATAGGCCACAAAACTTTGTATGTATTTTGATCTCAGCTATGTTTAAAAAAAATCTACCTGGAAGAAAAGACAATGGAACTATGCCAAAATAGGCCGTTGGAAATGAGTGACTATTACTATAGCTATATTCTTTTCTGTATTTTTAAATGCTCTAAAATGACTTTTACTACTTTTATAAATAGGAATAAATAACAGATATCTTTCATTATCTCTGAATTTCTCTCTATGTCATTTGGTACCCAAATGGTGTAAGACTGAAGAAAATGTTGGTGTAAAATATTAAGCCCAGGCACACTAGAAAAACACTGACCGTACTGGCTTGAGGCATTTCCAGCATCAAAGGTTGCCCTTTCCTGCCTGTCCAGAGGTGTTCTATGGATGGTCAGGAAGGGAAAGGCAGGGAAGACAAGGAAAGATCCAGAGTCCTTTGCTTCAGTCTCATGTCACCCCACTCCACAAAGCCCCAAATGCAAGCAGACTATTACCTTACAAAATAGCAGATCTTCAGGCAAAGTCCTGGTGAATTCTTTGCCAAGGCATCCTTATAAGTAGGGCCGTGGTTAAGGAAAATGGAAGCCTCTGTTATAGAAACTGAACAACTTTGCATCTTTGGAAATATTTGCTAAAACTACCCCTCTCCTCCAAATTTAAAAAAGATGTTTTATCTCTCCAGCCGTAGGATGAAAAACCAACTTGGTATGCACAGCTGTATGCTTATTATCACCTCGAGGGCTGACTTTATCTAGCCCATGCTGAACGGCTTCTGGGAGGAAGCTGCAGCACTTAACTCTGAAGAAGTAGAACTACGAACTCAGTCTCATGGAAAGGTCCCAGCACAGGTGCCCTGTAAGAAATGAAGAAGGGGAGTGACCCCTGCCCATGCCCAGGAGACCAGGGGTTCAACTGGGACAAGGTAGAAAGAGGAGCCCCTTATCTTTTCAAATGATTCTAGTAATGAAAGACAATTTTTGCAGTGAGCTGGAAGAAGGGGAGTGAACATTCAGATATACTGTCACAATAGTTAAAAAAATAATGTGAAAGTGATGATATACACCTAGAGGATGTCAGTAGATTGGCCTCCTAAGTTGTGATGGCAAGTCACACAGAGCCACGTGAATAATACAAAATAAAACTGTAGATCCCATTAAGGATCCACATCATTTGGAATATTCCGTAAGAATGGTGCCATCCTAAGAACAGGAAAGAATACAAGATGTCATCAAGTTCACATGCTTCTAGAGATACATGGAAAAAATATTCATTTCTTTTATGAGCTCAAGAAATATAAAATTTAACCTAGTGATGAGAACCGGGTAGGTCCTACCGTCTTCTGTCAACAAACTGAGGCAGGAGGTGGTATAGGCTGTGCGTGCCCCCACAGGACTAGGCCTCCTTCTCTTCTAAAATCTGTGTCATACTAACCACAATAAAGGGCTCAGCAAATCCCAGAAGGGCCCGAGAGGAATCCAGTGAGCAAGTAGGTAGAGATCTCAGTGGGGCAGACGCAGTCTTCCATCATTGGGTAGGCATATTTTAACCCCTGGAAAATTTAGAGTTAAATATAGAAAAGTAAAAGTCTAAATCACAGTATTGATGTCATTTATTAGGAAGGAATCTGTGGTTTTGAGATTTTTATATGCCTGTAATGTTAACAGCACATTAAGATGATAGCCTTGAAACTTCACTTTGGAGTATGTAATTAAGTGCTTTAGACTTGTGATTTTAAACTGTAAATTTCTGAATAGCCTTGGAATGTCTAAAATAATGTTAGCTTTACTGTTTATAACTTTTACGTACTAGAGTTATAGAAACTAGAATTGAAGATGGCATCTGAAGTAGTTGAAAATCATCTAAAATGTGAAATTCATAATTATAGTTTAAAACCATTGGAAATATTTATTAACTAGCATTATTCAAATTAACCATTTTTCATGGCTCCTTAAAAAGTGCTTGGTGTTAACATGCTCAACTTACAGAAATAAGATATGCAAACTAAACTTGAACCCTTGAAGAATTATGGTTGTAAAATTTGTATTTTTAAGAAAATGACTTTATTTCAAAAACCTAAATTTTAATAGATTTACTCCCCATAAAATCAGTCCTCAAGAGCACCAAAACAAAAACACAGAACACAAAACCATACACAAAGATAATCAAAATAAAAATAAGCCCTGGCAACTGGTAAACCTCGTGAAGTAAAAAACTTCTGACACCTGCCTTTCTCTGGGCTTAAAGAGTAAGAGTGAGCACAAGATGGTTTTATGTCTCTTTTTGCCACATCACTGAGGAAATGCACCCCTTCTGTGCAAGCAGGTTCAAGCATAACGCACATTCTAGATAAATACATCTCAGATTCTGGATTTTTATTATTTGGTCTACTTGTTGAAAGTTAATTCTTCCTCCACTTTAACAAAGAAAGCACAAGAAACACACTCTCCTTAACTAAGTGGAGAAACATCAATATGGAGCCTTTAACTGTGTTGTTTCTCCTCCTCCTGGTGGCTCCTCACCCTTCTCCTCAAATGCTCGCCCTGGCAGGGCATGGTGGCTGCGTGTGGGGCAGCCTCCGCGTAAGTGCAGTCAGGGTACACGCCAGTACTGAGCTTGGCAGAGCCGCCCAGGTCGTTAGAGCCCCTGGCCAGAGCAAAGCAGGGCAGTGCTTTCCACTTCGGGAGATGGAAGTAAACACCCAGCACGTGCAGGCCAGCGATGCAAGGCTCGGTGCCTGGTTGCCAGAGGCCAACAACACTGTGTGCTGGAAGCTTCAGGCTCCGCACATTTCCTTCTCTTCATAGCTGGTACTGTGCTTCTGAAGTATCATTGTTCTGACTGTACTTTACAGGCATCTGTGCTATTCAAAGCATGTTTTAAAATTGCTTTCTTTTAACAATGGATAAAGAGGAAACCACAGGCAGCTATCTGAACTTATTTAACTAACAATTCTATTAGTTCCAGGTCAGAAAACAGGGACAAAATAAGAAGAAAACATCCTTTTGCCTTCAGTGTTTAATCTGGGGTTCAAGGACAGGGAGCCTTACCTCATATTCCCTTCATGGAATCTTTCCCCCTCTCCAAACATAAGCAAAGCCTGGATTTCTCCCCTAGAAGTCCTGATAGATATAGAAAGAGTACCCCAGTGTTCTGCAGCCATAGTAATGTAACATTTGTGGTGTCTTATCCTGAGACGGCCACAAAGCTCAGTTCTAGAGAAACTGTAAAGATACACAAGCCTTGGCTCCTGCTGTTGAGGGATGCGCACCGTAGTGGGAGAAATGGCATGTAAATAGTAAGTTACAATACAATGTATGTATTTTAGATATATGTTAAAAATATATACTTATTTATTTTTTTAAAGTAGCTTGTAACTTGTCACCTTCTCTACTCATAACACAATTCAAACTACAGCAACTAGACATAAGGTTCTGTGGTTTGCTTGAAATAGTCATCTCTAAAGACTAGGTGTTACACTGCAAAACTTACAGACTGAAGTCTAGGTGGATTAAGTTATTTAGATAGAATAAAAACATGCTTTCTGCAATCATAGATATAGATTACAAGGCAGATTACATCCAGGCCAGAAATGTGAAAGGCACTTTGACTTAAGCAATATAGAACTGAAGTCATAGGAATTAAATATACTTTCAATCTAATACTACCTTAAAATACTAGGTAAATTTTAAAAGGTAGGTAGAAGGCTGGAAAAGTCAGGAGAGACTTCACAGAGGGGTCTTGAAAGGGTCTGCAGAGGAAAGAGGGACAAAAAGCATTCCAGGCACAGGAATTGTAAGATGCCCCATTACATCTGGTGTGTTGCGAAGTTCAGTGCAAAGTGGAAAGGGTCTCTTGGGAACTGCAGGGTGAAGCAGGAGGGTCAGGACACACACTGGGGTCAGACTGTGGAGGGCCTTTTCCTGGGGAGGGCAGAGTTTGACCTTAAGCCTGTAGTCTGCAGAGGCTCTGAAGCAATGGCCTATGTTAGGTGCTTAGGAAAATAACTTCAGAGGTGTGTCATGAAAGGGAGTGGAGCCCACATGGATGTGGAGATGAGCACGGGGCAGAGGCCTAGGAGAGAGGGTGGGGGCCCAACCCGAGGCCGCTCATGGGCTCTGTAGGAGGTGAAAGGCTGGGAAGAGTCAAGAGTGCTTCTGACACTTCTGGTTTAGGCAACTGGATGGAAAATGACACTATTAACTGAAATTGAAAATGAAAATACAGGTGTCAAAGCAGAATTACTGACAGTAGTTGTGGGGATGAGGGTACTGACCTAGTGGGCTCAGTTCTGAACATATTAAGATTGAAGTGTCTGCAGGACAATCTAACATTAAAATAATTGGTTCGGATTAGAGAAATCTGGACTTGCAAGTTGTCAGCACAGAGGAAGGTGGTGGAAATCCCGGTGAGAAATCACCCAGGGAAGGAAGCAGAGTGAGAAGACCACCAGGATGCTGTCCCCATCTTTAAGTAGTGCTCAAAGAGGAGGCTGGGCGGGAAGCTGGAGGAGGGCACGGGCCAGGGGGACGCCAGCTGGGAAGCCTGGAGGAAGAGAGTGTGGAGAGGCAGGGGATTGTCAGCAACGCCCACCGTAAACAAGGACAGGAAAAAGCTTTAAGGTTTAGCGACTCAGAGGTCACTGATGACAGCAGAGAAGTCTGTGCAGGGCTGGGGGGTTAGTGTTGGGTTAAGGAGTGAGCGGGCACTGAGAGACTGGGGATAAGTGCCGCCTATTTTAAGAAGTTTGTGCACAAAATTCTAGCCCTAACAAGGGGTTGGAGGGGACACAGGGTTGGGAGTTCACTTCCAGGCCAGAGAGACCCGAATGTGTTTCAGGCTGCAGGGCAGCTGCCAGTGAAGAGGCAGAGTATAAAGGCACAGGAGAGGAGAGGTGGGGTGGGCGGAGCGCCAAGGTGTCAGTCTGAGGACCAACAATGTTTTCAGTGCGGACTATTTCATCACTGACATTGTTTAGAATTGCTGGGATGTGGGGTTAATAAAAAGTAGGTCCAACCAGAGTGGGTTTTATTATGACCTTAAAATTCTCAGCAGACCAGACACCCACTTACTACCTGTACCACGTATTTTGTGGCCCTCTCACAATGCTCAGAGCTTGGAATACCACAGAAACACCTCCTGTGATATGAGAAGTAAAGATTTGTAAATAGGTGTAGAGAAGAGATACAGTCCTGAGGGTTTTTCTTTTTTCCTGTGTGCCACGGGAGGAGAAGAGAGGGGGCAGGAGAGTGGCACAGGATGACAAGGGCCGCCAGTGCTGACTCGGCGCCAGGGGCGTGGCTGCTGGTGCCGACAGCCGCACCTCACCGATGGCCCCTTCTCTCTGCAGCCATAGCTCACAGCGTCAGCAGTGAGAAGGGAAGGCAAGTGCGTGCTCCACCCTACTCAGTTCACACCTCCTAAGGTTAACATCCAGCAGGGTTCCCTTGGCCCACAGCCAGTGCCTCTGCCTGAAGCAAAAAGCCTCCGGCAGACTCCCCAGACACTGTGGCTTTAGGACGCTTTCTTCAGAACCTGGGGAAGGTGGATGAACTGGGCAGCACAGCCAGGATGCACCTGTCATTTGAGTCACGCTGGCACCCTTGTCAATCTGCACGGGAATATGAATTTTGACTAATCTATAAGAAATGTATTTTACTAGCCAGAGATACCGAAAAAGACTGTGTCTGCATGTTTTCTCTGACGACTTCTCAGAGCAATCAGCATCAATAATACAGACCTACTCAACAGGAGACACGTATTACCTACAGACATGCACACTTGGACACACACACACACACCCACCACACTCCCCATCAAAGGAAATATGAACCCATTTACCACTCAGGGTTATTCTAAACCAATCAAAATGAAGGCATACTTCAAATTCCAAGATCCTTTTGAATGAATCCCACCTTGGGATTGCCAGCCAGATTGCCAGCCAATGTGCTAAAGGATATAGGGTGATCACTTTCCGGAGCAGCTCGCCAGAGGAAATGATGATGCGGTGCATGGTCAGCATGACTTGCAGCAGCTGGTTACTTCGACACAAGTTTCCGTCTGCATCTGAAAACATACAGAGCAGCATCTGAGTGAGGCCCCCGAGAGAAATCGGTCCGTCGGGATGTCCGCCAGCGTGCGTGACCCAGGTAGGTGACAGAGAGCAGGTTCTTCAGGACAGGGCTTTTCTCCCACTGCCTCTGGCACCGCACATCCCTCCCTTCCACACTTCTCTTGCCCTCCTGCCGCCCTCACCCCTTCCCATAATGTCCATTTTAATGCACGTTAACCACCCATCCAAAAAGGTTCTTAGGAAAAGGGTAAAAAATGGCCCCAGGACACAGGAGTCTGTGTTCAAGCAGAAGCAGATACAGGTTTTGTGGAATCTAATGTTCATATGAGGCAGGGGTGGAGGGCCTTCTAGGGTCAGAGTGAAAAATGTTGTAGTCTTAATAGATTACAGTTAAAATACCTTTTGCAAATCTTACAAGGACATACGACCATAGGAATACATTTCTAGGGCTCTCCCATGGCAAGGACTCATGCCAGTGAGGAGCCCTGAAATGTAAGTGTCCCTACTTTTATGGACAATGTGCTCTGGGTGGGAATACAGGAGGACAACTATGGGCAAACATTACATTTGGAGATTATAGGTGTGTTACAAGTACCCATGAGGATTGTATCAAAGATATAGTTTTCTAAATCCCAGCTGGTAGCAAATAAGATAATGTATTCTATACGCTGGCTTTGGGTAGAAGACTTTTCAAAGTCTTTTCAACGTTTATGGCATGAAGAGTCAGGATCTGTGCTGGTTATTCACTGCAGGACCTATTCTCTGGCTTCACCATCAATCTCATTACCATGCCCAGTGAGTTTCCAGCTGGTTCAGCTGTTGGGAAGCATCGACAAGACATAGGAGGAGGGAGAAGCCAGGATACTTCTTTCTCGTCCCCCCTCTGCTTTGGCACCACCTCCGGGCCGACAGCTACAGGTCTCTTCTGTGAACGATCAGACCAGCTGGACTCTCCCTTGACCCTTTGACCCTAAGGGTGGCAATGTCTGGCTCTTGACAGTTTCTGGGTGCAGCATCCCTTAATTTGACTCTCTTCTGTGTAAACAGTTCCTTTATTAAAGCGTCTTCATTTCAACAAACTGTGAATTCTGTTCCTTGCTGGGAACTTGAATGATTCAGGATAAATTATCAAATGAAAGAATATACATGAATTCCTTTATCATTTGATATCTCTGTAAAATGCATTATACAAACGAGGCTATTATTTTCATTCTTTCCAAGTGTACCAAATAGTAAACGAAGGAAGGACACAGTGCATTTGGGTTCAGGGTTCAGAGCACCAGGCTCATTCTTAAATGATGACCTAATGTCACTGTGTACCGAGAAAGAGCAAGTGAACTGCCGAGTTCAGCTGGCTTCCTATCACCAAATCCACCAATGCACCCACTCTCTTACTCGTGCCGCCTGGCCCCCCATTTCCCTGGAAGGCCTTTCAGAGGCCAACACTTCCGCTGTGCCTTGCGGCTGCTCCTGTCTCAAGGACGGTGATCCTGCCTTTGACAACTCTCTCTCCTGCATTATCAACTTCTCTCTCTTGGTGTACTTCCTCTGACAGTTAAACACACACCTGAATCTCCTATTTAAAGCAAAATGAAATGAAACCTTAACCCTCATCCTTTGTAGAAGGTTTCCACTCCTCTGTTTCTCTGTTTAGCAAAACCTCACCATCATTAACTTCTCGCCTTCCATTCACTTCCAACCATTCCATGTGGCTATCTTATTCCACTAGACATTGTATTTTCAAGGTCACCAGCGAGCTTGATGATTCCTCTGTCCTCATCTTACTTTAATGACCGAAGCTGCGCTCAACCCAGCCCAGCCTAGGCTGACAGCTCCCTCCCTGGAACACTTCTCCTCTTGGCTTCCTCACCGTCACACTCAGCTTCTCTCACAGGCTCTTCTTCTGTCGCCTCTTCCTCTGCTGAGCTCTTAAATGTCACCATTCTTGGTGCCGTATCCTCCTACTTCCTCAAACAATTTTTAAAATTTAAAACTTCATAAATTTTACATGAAAAAACCCAACTTCTTTTTTCTAGGTAAATTCATCTAGTCTTTGGGCTAAAAACACCATCTTTTAGTTGCTGATGGCTGCCCAACTTCTATCTTCAGCCCTCAGTACCAGATTAGTATGTCCATCACTGTACTTGTCAAAGCCACTCTGATGTCTAATTCAAACTTAAATCACCCAAACAAAACTCTTGACCTCTCCACTCCACTTCCACCTCTATTCTTCCTCATCTCAGGAAACAGCACCACTGACCATCCTCTCAGTCACCCAAACAAGAAACCTGGAAGTCATCCTTGATTTCTTACTTTCCCTCATATCTAGTCCATCAGCAAGTCTTCATTCTATTTTCAAAATAGATCTCAAACCTGTCCATTTCTGTCCCTCCTTGCCATCATACTAGTTGTAGATGTGCTAAAGGATATAGGGTGATCACTTTCCGGAGCAGCTCGCCAGAGGAAATGATGATGCGGTGCATGGTCAGCATGACTTGCAGCAGCTGGTTACTTCGACACAAGTTTCCGTCTGCATCTGAAAACATACAGAGCAGCATCTGAGTGAGGCCCCCGAGAGAAATCGGTCCGTCAGGATGTCCGCCAGCGTGCGTGACCCAGGTAGGTGACAGAGAGCAGGTTCTTCAGGACAGGGCTTTTCTCCCACTGCCTCTGGCACCGCACATCCCTCCCTTCCACACTTCTCTTGCCCTCCTGCCGCCCTCACCCCTTCCCATAATGTCCATTTTAATGCACGTTAACCACCCATCCAAAAAGGTTCTTAGGAAAAGGGTAAAAAATGGCCCCAGGACACAGGAGTCTGTGTTCAAGCAGAAGCAGATACAGGTTTTGTGGAATCTAATGTTCATATGAGGCAGGGGTGGAGGGCCTTCTAGGGTCAGAGTGAAAAATGTTGTAGTCTTAATAGATTACAGTTAAAATACCTTTTGCAAATCTTACAAGGACATACGACCATAGGAATACATTTCTAGGGCTCTCCCATGGCAAGGACTCATGCCAGTGAGGAGCCCTGAAATGTAAGTGTCCCTACTTTTATGGACAATGTGCTCTGGGTGGGAATACAGGAGGACAACTATGGGCAAACATTACATTTGGAGATTATAGGTGTGTTACAAGTACCCATGAGGATTGTATCAAAGATATAGTTTTCTAAATCCCAGCTGGTAGCAAATAAGATAATGTATTCTATACGCTGGCTTTGGGTAGAAGACTTTTCAAAGTCTTTTCAACGTTTATGGCATGAAGAGTCAGGGTCTGTGCTGGTTATTCACTGCAGGACCTATTCTCTGGCTTCACCATCAATCTCATTACCATGCCCAGTGAGTTTCCAGCTGGTTCAGCTGTTGGGAAGCATCGACAAGACATAGGAGGAGGGAGAAGCCAGGATACTTCTTTCTCGTCCCCCCTCTGCTTTGGCACCACCTCCGGGCTGACAGCTACAGGTCTCTTCTGTGAATGATCAGACCAGCTGGACTCTCCCTTGACCCTTTGACCCTAAGGGTGGCAATGTCTGGCTCTTGACAGTTTCTGGGTGCAGCATCCCTTAATTTGACTCTCTTCTGTGTAAACAGTTCCTTTATTAAAGCGTCTTCATTTCAACAAACTGTGAATTCTGTTCCTTGCTGGGAACTTGAATGATTCAGGATAAATTATCAAATGAAAGAATATACATGAATTCCTTTATCATTTGATATCTCTGTAAAATGCATTATACAAACGAGGCTATTATTTTCATTCTTTCCAAGTGTACCAAATAGTAAACGAAGGAAGGACACAGTGCATTTGGGTTCAGGGTTCAGAGCACCAGGCTCATTCTTAAATGATGACCTAATGTCACTGTGTACCGAGAAAGAGCAAGTGAACTGCCGAGTTCAGCTGGCTTCCTATCACCAAATCCACCAATGCACCCACTCTCTTACTCGTGCTGCCTGGCCCCCCATTTCCCTGGAAGGCCTTTCAGAGGCCAACACTTCCGCTGTGCCTTGCGGCTGCTCCTGTCTCAAGGACGGTGATCCTGCCTTTGACCACTCTCTCTCCTGCATTATCAACTTCTCTCTCTTGGTGTACTTCCTCTGACAGTTAAACACACACCTGAATCTCCTATTTAAAGCAAAATGAAATGAAACCTTAACCCTCATCCTTTGTAGAAGGTTTCCACTCCTCTGTTTCTCTGTTTAGCAAAACCTCACCATCATTAACTTCTCGCCTTCCATTCACTTCCAACCATTCCATGTGGCTATCTTATTCCACTAGACATTGTATTTTCAAGGTCACCAGCGAGCTTGATGATTCCTCTGTCCTCATCTTACTTTAATGACCGAAGCTGCGCTCAACCCAGCCCAGCCTAGGCTGACAGCTCCCTCCCTGGAACACTTCTCCTCTTGGCTTCCTCACCGTCACACTCAGCTTCTCTCACAGGCTCTTCTTCTGTCGCCTCTTCCTCTGCTGAGCTCTTAAATGTCACCATTCTTGGTGCCGTATCCTCCTACTTCCTCAAACAATTTTTAAAATTTAAAACTTCGTAAATTTTACATGAAAAAACCCAACTTCTTTTTTCTAGGTAAATTCATCTAGTCTTTGGGCTAAAAACACCATCTTTTAGTTGCTGATGGCTGCCCAACTTCTATCTTCAGCCCTCAGTACCAGATTAGTATGTCCATCACTGTACTTGTCAAAGCCACTCTGATGTCTAATTCAAACTTAAATCACCCAAACAAAACTCTTGACCTCTCCACTCCACTTCCACCTCTATTCTTCCTCATCTCAGGAAACAGCACCGCTGACCATCCTCTCAGTCACCCAAACAAGAAACCTGGAAGTCATCCTTGATTTCTTACTTTCCCTCATATCTAGTCCATCAGCAAGTCTTCATTCTATTTTCAAAATAGATCTCAAACCTGTCCATTTCTGTCCCTCCTTGCCATCATACTAGTTGTAGCCGTCACTATGATGCGATGACCTAGTTTTCCTCCCCGCTTCCTCTCTTGTCCACTCACAGCCCATTCTCCACACAGAAGCCGGGAGTGAGCTCCTAAATCCATAAGCCAGGTCATGTGCTTAAAGCGCTTCAATGCATTCCAGTGTCCTGACAGAACACCAGCTCCTTGGTGCACCCCACATCCTGGCCAGATCACTCCTCTCGCACTTCCTCTGTGACCCAGACCCTCCAAAGTTAGTCCCACCTCACGGCTCCTGCATTTGTTGTTTCCTTCCGTGGGGGCTTTCTTCCTTTGGCCCTTCATGTCATTTACCTGAGAGAGGTCTTCCTGACACTCCTTAAGGAAGCCACTAACCGGCTCGAGCTTCTTCACAACACTTTTCATGGTCTGAAGTTATCTTGTTCATTTAATTTTTATTTTCTGGGTCTACACTAGAATATAAGCTTCATGAGACCTGAGCCTTGTCTGTTTTTTCCACAGCCATATTTCCAAGGCCTAGAACAGTGCTGATGCATGGTAGGTATTCATTAAACATTTGTGGAGTGAATGAGTGAACTGTATGAAATGGGAGACCCCCTAACTTTTCATGTATCTTTGGATATTGAGTTTCGGTTTGCTCGTCATTAGCTATTTCAGTGGACATATACTATACACACTTACTTTCTTCTTGGCCACAGTTTACAAAACAAATACAAGGTTGCGACTTGACACGTAATTTTTATGAAATTAGCCTGGTTATAGTTTTGTAAATCTTTCATTAGTTTCTCTAAACTTATATTCTGCTGAGGCAGGGTTAGTACTGCTCTCTCTGTCCGCTGGCCCACACAAGTTTTGCAATAGTTCTATCTTGCCATGAAAATTCTGTAAAACAAACCACCCGAAAACTCATTTATTTCTTCTCAAGTGTCTGTGAGGTGGCAGGGTCCAGCTGAGAGAGGCTGGGCTTTGCTGTGGATGCTGCTCCACACGCCCCCAGCTTCCTCGCACTGGTCTAGCTGTGCTAGGTTCTTCCATGGTGACAGAAGGGCACCTGGACATCTCCAAGACCTCTCAAGCCTAGGCCTGGAGCTGGCCTACTGGCACTGCTGCCTTCTGTTGGCCAAAACAGGTTGCACTGCTGAATCTCAAGTCCAAGAGCAGGAACCGTAAATCACATGGAAAAGATCACTGACACAGAGGAGGTAAAAATTTGGGTGGGAGGCAATAATGTAGTTAAATCTATCACAATTATGGGGGGAGAACTTCAATTCATCTGACAAAACAGTCTTTATAACACATTCTACCTCGCGGAGGCAGCAGTGCTCCCATCCCCATCACCAAGGCAAGAGGGGAAGCTGCGGGATCTGTCTGCAGGACTTGCAGCAGGCTGCTCATGCGAGCTACGGACACAGTTGCAGGCTTATTCAGTGTGGATGGAATCTGAGATTTGCTGTCTCCTTGTGGCTGGCTAGCATCCTTCCATGGATGCTCATGTATTAGGTACGGGGCTTAGAAGTAGCCTGGGTGAGATCAAAACCAAGTCACCTATGGAAGGATTCAAGGAGCTAAGGAAGTTCACCATGGAGAAGGCCCAGGAGAGAGATTAGAACTGTCTTCAAATATTTCTAGTTTTATTTATGAGAGAAGATATAGACTGTTCTGTGGGGCTACCAAACGCAGGACCAGAGAAGATGACTAGGGAAAGTTATAGGAAAGAGAACTGGGCATGACACATGGTGGAAGTGTCTAACCCCTAGGAACGCCCAGCGATGGGCGCATTCCCGTAATGGTGGTACTCAAGGCGGGACTGGAGAGGGGCCCTTTCACATCAGTGCAACTGGCATAGCAGCTATTAGTTACTGACGTCCTAGTAATACCAGAGGCTGTGCTAAGCACCTTAAGTGTTAATTCTAATTCTCACAATTCTGTTGGTATTACTCAGAATTTATAGCTGAGGAAATCAAAACATCAAGAGATGAGGTGATTTGTTCTAGGTCAAAGAGACAAAGAGAGCTAGGCTCTGACTCCAGGTCTGTAGTTCTTTCCACTACACTCAGCTGCATGCTGCATGAGCATCTACCAGGAGAGGGAATTCAGGTGTTAAATAGGGGCAGCTAAAGCAAATGAGCTGTATGATCTTTTCCAGTCCTTACGGCTACAAGTCTATTTCATGCCACTGGGAATACTGGGTCAGAACCAAGGCACATTTGGAAGAATAGCTTTTGTACTCTGGTGGTTTCTGAAAATTGGTGGTTTCTGAAAATTCTTGCATGCCTTGGTTGATACATATTGGTCATTACATTGCCTTTAAGATAAGAAGGGTGCTGTGTCTAAGATGCAGTCATGTTCGGTCTCCACGTCGGTCTTGCACCCACCTTCCACACAGTTCCATGACATTCCCCCGCTGTGCCTTGTTGACCCTCACGTGCTCTCTGTGGGAACGAGGGCTGGCAATGGTAGGGCCAGAAGGGGATGACTCCCCCAGCAAAGGGAGGCAGAGACAGGGTGAGGAAGGAAGCATTTCTGCACCCAGGTCCCAACGCCCTTCTTGGCTCTGCTTTTTCAGCAGGAGAATGTCTTGGCATATTCACTTGCCCTC